CATGCCTGTATTTAGACCTCTATAAATGTCCTTTGCCTCCTATTTATTTCCTTTTACTTTCCTCTTGTCCCACTATCATGCTCAGCCTTCATTTGGATTTTACTAACTCCTCTCGGTTACATTACCCTGGATCAATCCCTACCAGGCCTCCCATATACTCCTCACCACCGATTTGGATCACTTGTAGTTCCCTTGTCCCTGGGTTTGTTAACACCACTTCCTTTCCCCCCACCTCTCCCTCTCCCATGGCCCCTGGAACCATCTGTCCCATTGTTTTCGCCTCCAGATTGTTCATACAGCTTATCTTACTTAGACAGATCTGCGAAGATAATAACATGCACAAAAACAAGACAGAGCAAAACCAAGCAACAAAAGAAAACAAAAAAGCAACAACAAAAAGGCAATGACAAAAATAACAACAAAGAAAAGCCTATAGTTAGTTCAAGAACTGTTTGTTGGCCTTCAGGAGTGTTTTCTTGTCGAGTCTGATGGGGTGCCATGCCCTGGCCCCAAAGTCTATTTTTGGTATTGCCTGGGGACTTTGTTGCTCTGTTCCCTTTGCTGTTCTATTGCCCGCCCTTAGTGTTTGCCTCTGTCTGGTGGGATCAGATCGGGCGCAATCCCCACACCGTGTCTCCAGTGTTGTCCTCTGTAGGGCTATGGGTTAGTGAGGGATGTTGTGTCTCATAGTGGGGCCAGCCATATGGTCCTCTCTGTGGATTGGCTGCTCTGAGCCGGAATATCGTCCTCAAGGCTTGGTGGGCCAGGATGTGTTCCAATCTCTCTTCCTCTCCCTTCATTTCTTTCCATGTGGTGTGATCAGACATGTCCCTCTCTCTGAGCTGTAGCGTCAGTGCTGTTCTGAAATAAATTCTTCTGGGGGGAGGGACAGGTGTCCACATAGTTGGGATTGGGGCTGGCCCCTCATCTTTTCTGATTTTTTAATGACCTTCTTCTATCTTCACAGACAATATTCTTGATATTATTATGTAACTCTTCGAGTTTTCAATCACTAGGGTTTTGGTGGGTCAAACCTGTTCTTGAGATGGTCTTTAATTCAATATTTTTGCTGTCATGGACTTGTTTTAAGTTTTCTTCAGCTTCAACCTGGACTTTGCATATGAAAAATGGATGGTGTTCCACAGTCAGCCCTGATCTTGTTTTGACTGATAACGAACTTCTCCAAGACATATCTTGAAATGTTCATTTCGACAATGTACTTGTTCTGTGTGCATTTGTCTAGAAAATATTGGCCTGCAGGCAAGATTTCTACCCTGCCTCCATCTGTAGGCCCTGTATCTTTGACCTCATTGTTTTGCTTTTGCTTTTGTTTTTTTAAGACGATTGCCAGGCCTTTCTTCCTAGTGCGTCTTAAGCTCCACAGAAAACTGTCCATCACCCTAGCAATACACAAGCCTCCTCTTGCTGACAGGTGGTAATTGTACACAAGGTGCGTGGATCAGCTGTTGGACTGTGGTTTCATCAAGGAGAGTAGGAATTTGACCACTGGGTCCCCCCTGCCCTCACGCTGCACCTGTGGATGGGGAAAATGGGCAGAGCCCGCAGCTGTGTGTTTTCCATCTTTCTTTCCCTGGACCTCGCCCGGCGAGCATGTGGAGGAGGTGGACTGGAAGTAGGAAGGAAAAGCAAGGGGTGAACTAAGTCACCAGCACTTTTATTACAGTGCTACAGGCTCAGGGTGGGAGAAGGAGTGCCCCCGCCTGACGAGCTGGTCTTCTTCTTATTATTATTATTATTATTAATTGGTATTTAATACATATATCATATAATTCCATAGTTCAGTCACGTCAAGTTGGCATTCTTCTTTGCATATCACCTGTGCACCTTGGGGGCTTTTCCTTCAGGGCATACAGGCATCCTTCCTTCCTTCTTTCTAATGGCTGATATTGTTTTAGTAAGGTCCCTGTGTGGTGGAAATAGTCAGTGCTTCATTGTTCAAGATTGGCCATCAGAACCTACAGCCATAAAGATTCCTGCTGAGCAAACCCTACGGAGCAGTTCTACTCTGTCACTTGGGGTCTCCATGGGTCAGAATGGATGGAATGGGAATGCACTGTGTTTCTTTAGTATCAGTTGTAAAATTTAGAAAGCCTTAAGAAATAGACAAAAAGATATATCAGCACAGATATTTAATCATAATAAAAATAGCCAAGCTATAACAAATGATGGAAAAGTTATCTGGGTCTTGAAGGAAACCAATGGTCCCTCACATTTCTGGGGGCTTCTCATTGCTGAGCCGATCTCCTCTCTATCCCCCCATCTCACCCTGCACATCTGGGGACAGTGGCTGCAGCTAAGAAAGCCGTGATGATCTGCATAAGGTTGGCTCTTCATTCTATGACCCTGTGTATGGGAGCAACTACATGCAGCCCATGTATCAGTGAAGAGCGAGGACCTTTTCTGTACAGGATCACAGGAAGAAGCTCTGCAGCTCCATGGATCTATAGGATGAAAAGACACAAAAGAGGGACAGTCAATCACTGGTCTCATGATGAGGCATGTCTGCATCCTGTGCCTGCTCTTTGCCTGAGGCGAGACTTTACAGAGTGGTCTTCCTAACCGCTCCCACTGCTTGGCCAATCCTAATGCACAGGAGGGAAGGCTGGGGCTCCAGGGTCCCCTCACAGGTGCTGACTGAGACTGGAGAGGCAGCTAGACATTGTTGGGGCAAGGCACAAGTCCCTAGAGCTGCACTGACATTAATTTCCTCTTCTAAAACCTATCTCCACTAGTCCAACTGCCCACGTGAATAGCAGGGTGAGAAAAGTACAAGAGTCTCCTAGCCCTAGTCCCGCTTGCCCTAGTGAGAGAGGCTTTGTGTCAGTCTGGGTACTTTAGAGAAACAAATCCACAGAAACTCATGTATAAGAGAGAGTTTATATAAAGGGTAAGTGCGCATCAAGAAAACATCCCAACGCAGTGCTGCCCAAGCCCACAAGTCCAACATTAACCCATTAACCCATATGTCCAACACTAATCCACAAAGTCCTCCTCCATCTCACAAAACACATGTAATGATGCCGACTGTAGGGGGAAAGCTGAGTCAGTGAATGTGTAAGCATCTCAGTGCTGGCAGGGGTCTCCATACAGCTGCTCCAGCAGCCAGAGCTGCATCGGGGTAGGTCCATGTTGCTTCTCCTCAAGGATGTCTTGCAGGAAGTGAGCCTTGCCAGGTGAAGCAGAGAACTGGCTAAGGCAGCTGACCCTGGTCCGACCATCACAAAGCAAGAGACCTCAGAACTAGAAATGGGAGGCTCAGTGAGCCATTTATCCCTCCACCCTTCAATTGACCCCACATGTGTTTATCCGCCAGGTTGGCACAATAAACTAACTACCTCAAGCTTATACCATCAGAGGGGAGGAGTTTGGTTTTGAGATTCTCCAAAATTCTCTTCCCTCCTTCTCTCCCTCCCTCCCATCTTTCTTATTTTGCTTATGGTGACTGAACTTTCTGATTACATTTAGTAGCTTTGCCACTGGAGATCCTGGGTGGTGCAAGGCATTAAGCACTCGAATACTAACTAAAAGGCTAATGGTTTGAATCTATCCAGGGCCCTTGACTTCCTAAACACCAGCCATTGAGCACCCTGTAGTGCCCCGTTCCACTCTGACACATGTGGAGTGGGCATGACTCAGGTTTGACGCCATAACAACTGGCTTGTTGTCATTGTTGCTTCATTGCCACTAGTGGAAACTTGTCACTGTGATGTGTCACTGAGTCCATTTGTATAGTGGCTCTACATGGCCTCTGTGGTGGAGTCCAAATGTCTCCAAGGGTTCTCTAGCCAGTACTCTTTCTGAGAACCAACTATCGAGTCTGTCTCCTGAGAAAGCGCTGGCTAGTTTCGAACCACGAGCCACTCCATTAGCACCTGGGTATTTAACCCTTTACCATCAGTAATCAGATTTAAATCAAATGAAAGACTCTGGTAAAACCAAAGTCTTGTGAGTCTGCTCACTGGTTTGCTTGTTGTCAGCGGCCTCCTGCACCATAGCCCCCTTCCCCGCCTCACCCAGTGCCTCACATCTCAGGTGCAGGGATTTGGTGTCCAAGAAGTGAGGCCAGGCAGCTGAGAATGCCCCCAGTGGTTAGGGGTGGGTGGAGAGGGGCATCCTCACTTTGCAGCTCTCCTACGTCCTCTCCCGCTGCACTGCCTGTCCATTCCCTTTATCCACCCCCACCCCACGCCCCTCCCGGGCTCCACACCTGTCACTCTTCCCCTTTCATCTACCAAAGGAGAAAGATCAATCCAACCAGCCAGAAAGACACAGCAGGAAGTATGAGGGGTGGAGCCAGTATTAGTGAGATTATTAAACAGCACCACTGGTCCCTCATCCCTTTGGCTGAGCTTACCTATTTGGAAGCTAAACTGAAGGCAGGTCTATTGCAGCATAATGATAAGATTCCAGTTTTGAACATTTGCTGTTTCTTTTAGTGGTACCCTGCAGAATTCCTTCATTTCCCCTCTTACCCAGCCCTCTTCCATTAAACTCTCCCTTGCTATACCTGCTCCTGACTTACTTCCCAAACCTCCCTGTGTCTCTCCAGAAGGAATTGGGTTGACATGGGAACTGTTCCCTGGCTCCCTACCTACGAGGAATCCTAGTGGCAGAGTGGTTAGGAGCTCAGCTGCTGCCCTATATAGCTGAAGTTTCAACCACCAGCCATTCCATAGGAGAACGGTGCCTGCTTCCGTTTGGAAGCCCCCTGGGGTGCTTCTCCTCTGTCTTAAGGATCGCTATACATTGGAATGGACTCAACGATAAGGGAGTTAGTCTGGGTTTCCCCGAGGCTAAGAGGCCCTCAGCTCAGACTTCTGCCTGGAGAAGAACCCCCAACTCCCTATTTCCTTAGGAATCTGTCTCCATGGGAACAATGAGCTCCCTAGGTTCAGGCTTACACCTGCTTCCCTTTAGAGGCGCTAATTTTGTCTCTCTGAAGCTTCTAGAGAGACTCCGGGCTTTGAGTATATCAAGATAGCAAGTCTTGCTCTCTTAGTCACATTCATTTAGTGACTCTAAACTTTTCCCCGGGTTTTATTGGCCCTCATGGTACAGCCTGCTATCACGGACCAGACTGGAAGCAACGGGCCTTCTCAGACCCAGTTGTAGTGTGAGCACCAAACTGTCACCCAGAGGAAGGACATCGTGATTTCATGCCTCCAATTCTTGCACACCCTCGCTCACCTCCTTTAGAAGGGACGCCGCGAGTACTTCCGGCGGTACATCTCATCCACTTGCTCCAGGTACCAAGTCCCTGGGAAAAGGCTGTTTGTGTCACCAGGGGGCGAGAAATTCACTGTGGAAGGAAGAGAAGAGCCAATACTAAAAAAAAAAAAGAAAGCAATAGAGCGGAGAGGAAATACAAAAGAGTCATAGGGATGCTGTGCTAGTTGGAATTTGTATCAACTAGACATGCTTGGGTGAAGGTAGGGGTGGAGCCCAGCCTATCAATCATGTCACAGTCTGATGACACCTCCTGGGGGGTGTGGCCTTTGGTGTAAGAGAGACGCTGAGCAGAGCAGAGCCTGTTTGCCCCTTTGCCTTCTGCTGCATCTGGTCAAGCGTCTAGTTAGTTGATCTCCTGTTGTGTTGCCTGCTGAGCCCTGGAGCTGTCAGACTTGACTTGATTTGGCCCCTCCGATTCATTTACCTCTGCATCCGTCAGCCTGTGGCCCTTCTATTTCTTCATCCTGCTTCCTGATCACCATAGTTGCATGAGTCAGAGACAGCTTTGACTTACATCTGACCTACGGGCTTGACCCAGACTGTACTTAGCCACTTCTACAGCGGTGTAAGTCGTCTCTTGATCTGCATCTCTTACTCTTTATGTACACATACATGTATCACTGGTTTTGCTTCTCTGGAGAACTGAACCTAACACGGGTGACATCGCTTCGCGTGAAGCTCTCCATGCTGTCCTTTTCGCTGGTTACAGCCCTGGGCCAGCGGAGGGATCAGATAGGGCAGCCACTGCGGGTCTGGAACTTGGCTGTTCACAGTTTTATCCTAGGAACAGACGTTTCCCTCTGGGAACACACTTTCTCCCCTGAGATCATCATCACGTCCTTTGCCCAATGATACACTGTTTATGGTGGACCCCAACCAAAATGTCCACTTTCCTGATAGACATTTCCTCCCTCACCCTAAGTTGTCTGATTGTGATTGCATTGTAGCATTTCTTTGCTTTTTCCATAAGAGATCCTATTTTTATTTAAATTTCATTGTGGCAAAATATAGATAACAAAACAGTTAACCCTATTAAGTGTATCATTCAGTGACAATAATTCCATTCTCCATATTGTGATATTATCCATTTCAGACTGTTGGCCTGTAGTGAGAAGCAGAAACTCACTACACCTTAAGCAATAATTCCATCTTTGTTCTCCTCCTTGTCCCTGGTAAGCACTAATAACCATCTGCTTCTTGGTATTTGCTTTGTCTAGATACTTCAGATACTTCTGAGCTATATCTCAATATTTGTCCTTTTGTGGCATATTTAGTATTATCGCAACAGGCAGACTTCCCCAGACAGATACTCATCTGTGGCTGTGTATAAAGTGTTTTGGTCAGGAATGGGACCCTGTTCTCCTGCTCAGAAGGTGGGAATTCCCCCACTGGCTCCCAAACACTGGCATGGACTCTCGGGTGTGTCGCCTTCCCCTTTTCTCACCCTGCTTCTTTTCTTACCCTTTCGGTGAAAGTGCTCTCTCTGATCCATGATTTCTGTGAACTCCTCCGCAGACGCACGCTTCCTGGAGGCTAGGCGGTTTGGCAGGTCTGATACGCTAGACACCAGCTTCTCCAGTGGAGATCCTGAGAAGAAAAAGCGAGATGTATAACCTGCTTCCTCCTCACTGCCTTGACCAATAGCCAGATTCTGTGGGAGTTCACACCCTGGAGATAGTGCTCTGCAAGTGGTATAGACTGTCAGGAGATCGTCAAGGACAACAAACATATCATTAGCAGACTAGCTAGGCAGACACACTCAACTAATCAAGGCATATCTCACATAGTGCCTAGACCTGTGTCCTGCACTAGAGGAATCTTAAAATCATCAGCAAATATTTTCTGGATACCTCAAATTCATCAACGTCTCTTCCAGCCATTGCAACCAAACTCCCGCCTTAGTAGACCCCCTCTCTCCCTCTGGCCTGTACGGTTTGCTGGTCTCACCTTCTGTCTGTGCTCTAAGTAATAGACAAGCATGGAAGTTAGATTTCTTGTCAACCTGAATTTGTATGAACGTATCAGGGTGGTGGAGTCCAACCTGCCAATCAGGTCACTGCCTGATGATGCCTTCCTAGTGGTGTGGCCCCTTCAAAAGGGAGAAAGTTTGAACTTCTTACTCAATGCCCCTTCGCTTTCCTGCTTACTGGGAATCTACCTGCTGCCAGGGCTGCCTCATGTGGGCCACCTGACCCTGAGAGCCGTCCGCGCCCTGCCAACAAAGTGTTTCTACCAACCTTGGATCCGCTTGACTCTGGACCGACTAGCTTGTGATCTTCCTGCACCACACTTCCCTGCATCATTGGCCTGCAGCTCCGTGACTGAGTCCCCGGCTAGCATCAGACCCATCTCCTTACATTGAACAGGGCTGGGAGGCTTTCTTGTTATAAAGCTACTTTGTGGTATAACGTCTTAGCTTCTTCCTTCTCTATAGATGTGTGTCACTGGACTTGTTTCTGTAGACAACCCAGCCTAACACAACAAGGGAGTGCTTTTAGAACACACAGGATACAACTTAGGCCGCTGCTCACATCCCTTCAGTGATTTGCTCTGCTTTCAATCTCAATCCCACGAAGATGTGAGCCTCGACATTCTCCTTAAGAGGGCTTCAATCTCCTTAAGAGGGCTTCGCTGGAAAAATGGGACTCACCTGAGGAAGCATCCTTGGATGCTCGCAAGGAAAATAAGCTTGCAGCCATGCCAGAGCCGTAGGAGAAGGCACCAATCCTGGAGCCGGCCAAGTCTTGGGCCGAGTGCCTACAGGGAAACAAACCCAAGCAAAAACACACCCCTCACTTTATTCTGTACTTTGGTAAGTCAAATCCAACCCGTCAACCTTGTGCGACTGACTACACATGGTTCCAGGGCATGCTACCGCTACAGGGACTGGGGTCGGCCCTGAGGAAAGTGGTGGAAGCGGGAACCTGAGTCCAGAGGAGAGCAAATGACAGCTGAGATACGGAAGGTTCAGTGCGCACGACAGGATTTTGGTGTGCAAAAGGAGCGCCTGCTGTTAAGGACAAGATGAGCTCAGTGAACTCTGAAAGTACTTTTGAATGGAAGCCACGTCACAGCCTCACGGCCCCCTGCTGCCTGCGCATGCCTCCCGCAGCAGCCACAGTTTGATCACGCACACCCATCTCTCTGGTTTCCCCTGTCACGCAGGTTTGCTGCTAGCAACAACAACCACGCATTTTCCACTGAGTCAATTCCAAGTCAAGGTGACTCTGGGTTGTCAGAGGAGGATTGTCCTCCATAGGGTTTCCCATGGCTGATTTTTCTGAATTAAATCACCAGGCCTTTCTTTGGAGGCCCCTCTGGGTAGAGGGGAAACCCCCAGTCTTTTGGTTAGCAGCTGAGCATGTTAATGGTTTGCACCACAAAGGTTTCGATAGTACAATGGTTTCTGTATAAACCACGCAAGATAGTAAAAATAACAGCTAACATTTGAGCACCCGCTTAATGCTAGTTAGTTCCTGGTGACCGCACTTGGCTGCTGAAAGAAAGACCGTAAGCTTAAGAGGCACTTTGGAAGACAGGTCTAGCAATGACCTTCTGAAAGGTCAGCCCCTGAAAACCATTGAAGCACAGTTCTACTCCGACGTGAAGAGCTCCCTGGGAATTGACTCCGTAGCATCCGGTAAAAAGACACTTACTGCTCACCAAAACTGTATGTGGTAGGCCTCTTATCCACCGTCTTTTACGGATGGGGAAAGTGAGGCAAATAAAAGTTAAGTCTTTTTCCCCAAGGCCTAAGCTAAGAAGAGGCAGAGAGAGATTTGAGTCCTGATCATGAACTCTAAAGGTAGACACTGAAAACCACCACGTTCTACTAGGTACAGAGATTTTAAATGAATATCATAAAAATATAAATAAAAATTCTACTATTTCCTGCTATTCCCAAATAGATCTTACCCAATCCCTGGTATATACGCACTTCCCTTTAGAGACCACTGTTTAATGATGATACATTTACTTATAAAGACACCTTTGAGACTAGTTCCTTTAATGTCTTTCCTTCCCCCTTGTGGGGGGAGGTTAAATGCGCAGGCATTCCCTCCCCTGAGGGAATAAGTTGCCAGACTGCTGTCTCATCCCTCCACAGGGGTGGGCCTGCTCCCTGCTTCTGGGGACAATGGACAGACTCCTGTAGGAGGGGTTTGCACCCTACTGATAATGTTCCTATGGAGACCCAGAGACCACCCCCTAGACCACCCTCTCATTGCTGTGTAACCTATAGTGCAGCCCCTTCCTGTGACGTATGTCTCTACCTGTAATTAGTGGGCTGGATTGCCCCCAAAAGGTATATAGGTGTGAGTCAGCAGGACCTCTCTGACTCTGACACTGAGCTCCTTGCTGCTCACTCCCTGGCCACTCCCCTCTCCCTTGTTCCCTTCCCCTCCTTCCCTTCCCCCTCTCTCCACATGGACCACCAAGCTGGGCTGAGGTGAGCAATGTTGCTATGTATCATGCCTGACTGTATTATTGTATTATCTCTCATGCTCTCGATGACTTTAATATAATACTTATATATCTCAACCGTACAATTGTGCATTACTGAACCCAGAAGTAGTATTTCTGAACTCATAAGAGTAATCAGCGGGTGGGGCTGGTTCCCTCCCCCTCCCAAGCCTCTCTTTATTTTTTTTATTTAATACTACACCCCCTCTCCCTTCCTCCTCCTCTTTCTTCCACCCTTTCTCCCATCCACCCTCCCCCCTTCATTCATCCCACTCACTCTTCTTCCCTCTTCCCCCCTCACTTCCCCACTTCTTCTCTTTTCTCTCTCTCTTTCTTACAAAATTTGGGGCCAGGAGAGAGAACATGTCCCGGGTGGGGGTAGGAGTGGGGCTGGGTGCTGTACTCACTGGGAGAGAAGCGAGGCCAGACACCCATACAGGGACGAGGTGTACATGTTCCCATTGTGCGCGGAGAGGTAAAGGGAGGCCTTGGTCTTCTTATTGAACATGTCCAGTGAAGCCTTTTGAAATGCCGCGTCCACATCCCGGTTGGTGTAGGTGTCTTCCAGATTCAGGCCACTGTGAAGCAGCCGAGGAGTCAGCCAGGTGCGAGCCCACAGGAGGAGGAGAAGAGACCGAGGAGAGAGGTTACAGCTCTGGAGAGATGACTCAGGGGGCCATGGCTTTATTATAGACTGTTATAGAAATATTTTATTGTAGATTACGGAGTATTATAGAAAAGTACAAAGGAAAAATGTCAAGAGTAGTCCTACTATTCATAGGAAGCACTTATGTCATGTTTTTCTTGTAGAATCCATCCTTTGTTTCATACATTTTATTAGAAACTAATATTATATCAATATTCTGTTTAATATACTTTAGAAGAAAAACACACATCTCTAGTGCCTAACACATTGAGCTGCTAATGGAAAGGCCATTGGTTTGAACCCAGCAGCCACTCAAGGGAGAAAAATGAGGTTGTTGGCGCTCACAAATATTTAGTTTCAGAAATCTATTCTGCACGATAGGGTCACTCTGAGCCAGAAGTAACTCAATGGTAGTGGGCCCAGTTTGTGTTTTATATCTATCTTTAGATATCTACATATACACACACACAAATATAGTTTCTTTCATGATATTAACTCAGATAACATTATTTTTAGAGGCTGCAGAATGATCCACGGTAGAATGAATCTTGCTTTAGCCAGTCACCATTCCTCTTTCTGAAATATTACAGTAAATACCCAAGTGTCCTTTACACAAACACAGTTGCTAAGTCAATAGCTTTCTAAAGGCATTTCCTTTTCTTGCCCTTTTGCTCACCAAACAGGCTGTGTGGACTTACACATCCCCCGTAGCCCACTTTTCATCACCTTGCTAATTCTGGGGAATGTTATGGCACCTAGTTTTAATTTGCTATTAATGAGCTTGTACATTTAAAGCTATCATATGAATTTCTTTTGGGGGGAAATACCCCTTTCCTATCCTTTATAGGATAAACACTCTATTAGGTGTTTATCATGTGAGTGAGATATTTATATATTCATGGTTTTCAGCATTCTCTTTGGCTTATGTCACAGTTGTGTGTTTTTTTAATGATTTTTGTTCTGATGGGACAATGTTTGTGCTCATTTTGATGCTTAGGTTAGTGGTAAGGTTTTTGGTAGCAGGGGCAGATGTTGGTAGAATGCTTCTAAATATTAGACAGATGTTAAACAAAGAAGGAAACAGTCCAACCCTACTGGGAGGTCTTTCTTCGTATTGAAAGCTTGCACAGTCTAAAAATATGTCTATGAGTAATGCTTAAACAAACAGTGACTCCGTGTGTGTCACTTATGTGAAGTGCAGTGACCCAAGGGGTTGTCTCCTCTGGGGCTCTACTCTGGCCCACATGGGGGTGTCCTAAGTTGGAATCCACTTGACAGCAGCCAACAAGAGCACCACGTGTCAGTGTAGACTGTGAGATCCTCCGTGGCAGGGATCATTGGGTCACATTCAAATTTATGTCTGGTGGCATAGTGGCTACATGTTGGCCTGCGATCCCAAGGTCCCCAGTTCGAAACAGGGCTTTCTACTTCCATAAAAAGTTAGTCTCAGAAACTCACAGCAGCAGTTCTAGCCTGTCTTAGTGGGTCACTGTGAGTCGGCATCAATTGGAGGGCAGTGAGCTTGAGGGGTTTTTTGAGAGGTTAGATTGTCTGGTGCAGATTATGTGTTCAGAAATGTTAATTGGCTTATCTGGTCACACGCCTTTTTCTTGTTCTTGTTCCTTGTTCTCTGAAGCGTCTTTGAGTTACATGCAGATGGGAGCATGCCAAGGCATGTAAGGGTTTTGTCTCATTGTGTTGTGTTGGATGAGGCTGGTAATCTAGCTTAAGGTGTCTGCTCCTCCTTCCTCATCCCCCATGGGCCTCTCGGGTCCCCATGAAGAGAACTCACCTGAAGGCCTCCAGGCCCTTGTAGCGGCTGGTTCGTGTGTCACTACTGGCTGACAGGAAGTCATTGAACATCAAACGTCCCAAGGATTTCTGGACCAATTTGCAGAAGGGTGAGTGAAAGATCATGAACTGGAAATCGTCCATGGTGAAAGGTCGTTCGATGCCAGCTAGAGGGTGCATGGGAACAAGGATGTCCAGAGAGAGCAGCCACTTAGACCTATGTCTCCAGGGACTCAGTAGAGTCTGGGACGCTAGACCTCCACAGAGGACTAGTTCCCCACCTCCAAGCAGTGCACAGAAAAGAAAGGGGCAAATTGTTTATTCATTTAACAAGTAAATACTGACAAGTATTTCTTACGTGTAAGAAGAGAAGGAAAGAAGCAAGCATCTTCTGAAGAAATTATTGTGACCTTCTATGGCAGCTGATTTTATTTATCTGTGTATTTAAGATTTCACTGTGAATTGGGTGTGGGTTTACAGAGCAGACTGTCTGTTTTACACCCAACGATTCATACACATGTTATTTCATCTCAGTCATGGCAATCCTTCCAATGTAATACCACCTATCCCACTTCCTTTCTACATTTCCTGTTCTCAGTTCTTCCCTTTTGATCTCAAGTAGTGATGAAGATGTGCATACCTCACTAGTGTTATTGTTCCCCTTCTAGACCTGTATCTTGTTTGGCTGAAAATGGAGCCAGCGAGGTGAGTTCATTTTCAGACCTGAAGGTCAACTAAGAGCCCCAGTATCAGGGGTTCCACTAGTCTCTATACAACCAGTAAGCCTGGTGTCTTTTCTGATTTTGTGCTTTGTTCCACACTTTTCTCCCACTCTCTCCAGGACCTTCTAATGTGATCCCTTTCAGAGCAGTTGGCAGAGGTTGTCGGGCACCATCTAGTTCTTCTGGTCTCCGCATCATGGAGATTGACATTTGCATGATCCGTTAGACCATTGAACTAATTGTTTCTGTTTGTCTTCAGTTTTCTTCATTCTCTTTTTTTCTTCAATGAGGGAGAGTGAGATCGTTGCACCTCCGATGGCTCCTCGGGAGCATGTAAGACTGCAGTTGCTACTTACGGAGTAGGATGTAGAATGTTGTCTTTGTGAACTATGCCCTCTATGTTCTCCTGAGACTGTGGTCCTGAGCCCACATGCCCAGCAACACATTCCCTCAAGGAGTTTGATTAGGGCTAGGAATTGTCATAACTTTGCCACCTGTATGCTCCATCAAATTCATGGATACATACTCCCACTCTCCCATACCCATTCAGGCCGCATGTCTAGGATATGTATGGATTATGTATAGAACAATATTGACTCTGTTGCCTTTAATGCTTGCAAACCTCCCAGTGTGTTCTCCTGCTTCCATCTTTTCTTTTTGTCCACCCTCCCTCTTCTGGTATATTTCCTTTCTCTTCACCAAAATTAACACGTGTCTACCCTCGAGCTCATGACTTGCCCTCCATTGCCCTCCCTCTCACACCTGGAAAAATCAAAGAACATTTCTTTTCATCTGAAAGCATGTTTCTGACTTTTTACAATTGTCTCATACAATATTAGTACTTTTGTGAAAGACTAATGTCGCTCAGCATAGTGTCCTTCAGGTTCATTCATGTTATGAGGTGTTTGGGAAATCCATCCTTCTGCTTCCAACATTGCGTGGTATTGTACTGCGTGTCTGCTCCAAAGCTCATGTATCCATTCCTCCACTTCTAGAAATTTAGGATGCTATCCTCTGTTTGCTATGGTGAATAGTGGTGATGAACATGTTCGTGCATAGATCAATTTGTTGCATGACTCTTATTTCTCTAGGGTATATACCAGGTAGAGGAATTGCTGAGTAAGACAACATCTCTGTTTCTGACTCTTTGAGGAAGCACGTACTGCTTCCCATCGTGGATGCACCAGTTTACAGATCCCCCAAGAGGGTCTGCAGGTTCCAGTCTCTCCACATCCTCACTAGCATTTATTGTTGTTGTTTTTTTAATGAACTTTGTCGTTAATGGTAGATCATATCTCCTTGTTCTTTTGATTTGCATCTCTCAAATGGGTAATGATCATGAGAATTTCTTCATATACTTGTTGGCTGCACATATTTTTGTCCATGTCCTCTGCTTCTTTTCAGTTAGATTATTCACCATTTCCTTTTTGAGGTGTTAAAATTTTTCTATACATTTTAGAGGTTAGTCCCTTGTTTGATATGACGTTACCAATTTTTTTTTGTCCCAGTCTGTGAGTTCTCTTTCTATTCTTTGGGTGAAATCATTTGATGCATGGAAGTGTCTAATTCTTAAGTTCTAGTCATCTGGTCTGTCTTCTATTATTTGTATGTTATCAGCTGTATTTGACAGTATATAAGTTTCATATATTAGTGACCTTAATCCTATTTCTGTTTTTTTCATTGAAAATGTTTATCGTGCTAGATTTAAATAAAGGTCTTTGAGCCACCTAAGTTCATTTTCATATATGATATGAGATATGGGTTCTGTTTCATTCTTCTGCAATAGAGATGCAAATTTGCCAGCACCATGTGTTCAAGATGAACTTTCTCCAATTTAATGTTTTTGACCTTTGTCAAAAATCAGCTGTCCATGTTGTTGCTAGGTGTCCTTCTTTTGATGCATTGTGCATCATTGCATATTTTACCTGTACTCAATGTTGCACCTGGAGGCTGGACTTTTTCCTTAGTTCTTTCAGCTTGAGATATGCTGAGTGACTACATGCTTTTTGATTTTTAAACTCCAGGTCCTTACACATAATAATACACTACTTTGTATTCTTGAGGTGCCCTTAGAAATTTTCTGTTCAGTTCTTTTATTTCATCATTTCTTCAATTTGCGTTAGCTGCTCTATGATCAATAACAAGGTTCAGAATCTCTTCTGACAGCCACTTTGAACTTTTCTTTCTTTACTGTCTTTTTAGCGACCCTTTACTTTCTTCATGTCAGATGATATCGACATCATCCCACAGTTTTTATCTAGTCTTCACTAATTAGTTTCAATGCCTCAAACCTATTCTAGAGAGGGATTTAAAATTCAGGTGGGATGTACTAGATCATATTTTGGCTCTCATATACTTGTTTAAATTTTCTTCAGTATCAGCCTGAACTTGCATGAAACTATTATTACCTAGCAGTCAGCCCCTGCCCCTGACCTTGCCTTGGCTGATGACACTGAGCTTCTCCATGTCTCTTTCCATGGATCTAGTCAATTTGATTCCTGTATATTCCATCTGTTGAAGTCCATATGCATATTCACTACCATAGAGTTGATTCAGACTCGTAGCAACCTTGTACGAGTTTATGTTGTTGGAAAAAATATATTTATATTGCTGGAATTTATGTTGTTGGAAAAAAGAGATTTGCAATGAAGGAGTCTTGCAAAATTCTATTATTAAATCTCCAGCTTTATTTCCATCACAAGATCATATTTTCTAACTATTGTTCCTTCTTTGTTTCTAACTTTTGCATTTTAATCATCAATAATTATCAATGCATCTTGATTGCACTGATCAGCTCATATTGAAGAGTTTTTCAACTTTCTTATCTCTAACTTTAGTGCTTTGTACATATATTTGAATAATAGTTGTTTTAACTGGATATATATATAATATATATAATATAACATATATATATTATCCTATCATAGACAGCATTGTACTTCAAGCTAGATCTTCAAATATTCTTTTGATGATGAATATGATGTCATTCTTCTCAAATTTGTCATTCTTGGCATAGTACACCATATGATTGTCAGATTCAAAGTGGCCAATATTAGTTCAGCTCAGTAATAGCTAGGATATTGATCTTTATGCATTCTATTTCATTTTTTTGATTTTTGGTTTTTTTATTAAAAGATCATTGGTTGGGGCTCTTACAACTCCCACTACAATCCACACATCAATTGTATCAGGCGTATTCATCCTTCTTTTCTAGACAGTTACTTTCTGTTGAGTCCCTGGTATCGGCTCCTCTCCCCCACCCCCTCCC